CTACATTTCTCCAAATCTGTTCTGATGAAGAAACAAACTCATGTTAAAGTCACTTCAAAAACATGTTCCCTGCAAAATGTCATTTATGCTCAGTAAAGTCAATTAACTTTGAACACACATGCACTTAATGCAAAGTCAACAAACACAGGCGCACTCAGAGCTGATGGTTTCTTTGAGAACAACCAGCCCTGCAGTGATTTTCATTTGTGGCAGGTCCAGTATGGTTTAGCATGAGGAGCGTTGAGGCCCCTGCTATTTCTGACACTGTCATTATCAATGACTCCAGCGCTCTCTCTACATGTGTAATGCTTTACTTTGTTCTAGGGTGAATTAAGCTGTCCCAAAGGATAATTGCAAGGGTATGGTAGTGATTGCAGAATCAGTCTCTCTCTTTTTTTTCCCAGGCATCGAGATCATGTGCATCTACAAGTACGGCTCACTGGTTAAGTCCTGTTTCCTGCTATTTCTGTGCAATTTCCAGTGAGGCTTTTGCATTGCGGGGATGTGTAATTATTCTTCTCTCTTTGTGGCAAGACAAAAAAGAGGAAGCACTCGTTCGTGAACTTAAAATTTACCCTGTGGAAAAAGTAAAGCGTTTCTACATGTGTGTGACACATTTGTATTATAGTATGGGACTACAATTTGGCTGTTTAACTCACATTCACATGCAGAATCCTGTAAAAATAATTTTCTTAATGAGTATTTCTGTCATTTTCCAATAAAAATGTATAAATATCCTTAAATATATTATAAATATAAGTCTTTTATATTTACTTGAGAAGCAAAATTTGTAAGATAATTAGACAAATAATAAGATAATACGTTTTCGGACAGTCAACAACACTACCGTTTAAAGGTTTGGAGTTGGTAAGATTTTTTCATGTTTTTCTATGCTAATATATTTTAAAATGTAATTTATTCAGTGCCACATGATCCTTCAGAAATCATTCTGATATGCTTATTTGCTCCTAAGAAACATTTCTTATTTTTATCAATGATGAAAAAAGTTGTTGCTGCTTAATATTTTTGTGAAACCATTATATTGTATTTTTCATATATTTTTAAATATTCTATTTTTCAGGATTTTTTGATGACTAGAAAGTTTAAAAGATTTTAATTAATTTAATCTTTACTGAATAAACATATTAATTTAAATAAAGCTTACTGACCCCAAATGTAGATTTTTTTTTTTTTACAGAGATTTATATTCAAAACAAGAAAGAACTTCATTTAAAACAATACTTATTTTACACAGTTTTGCATCTTAATTAAATATATCCTGATTTAAAGATGCTTACATATTTTTATTGAACATATTTTTTTTGCCAGTGTTCAGCACATGAAAACATAAATGTGGTGACTAGCATTTCTCATGTTCTGTCAGACAGTCTATAATTTGACTACTGAGTTTTGAATTTTCCAATACTCAACTGCTTTAGTGAATCATGTAGGCTCGTTTAATGTCCTAAATGAGGTCTGTCCAGCTTTACCAACTCTAACTGTCATTTGTCCTCAGGCAATGGCCTTCGAGGCCCACAGTCTGACGGTCCCCAGTGTGCTGTGGTTGGGCCTCCTGCCTTCAGACATCCAGAGGTTTGGGAAAGTCAACTCATTACTCTGCTCTGTGGTTTGTGATTGAAGCTTGGCTTGCTCTGGTTTCCGTTTTCTGGGTTTTTTTTGTTTTGGTTTTTGTTGCTGTTGCTGTTTTTTATTTCCTTCCTTTGGAAAGCTATTTTTAAGTGAATGTGTCGACTGTCATGGACCTCAAAAATCAGAACCTCTTTTTAGGAATATAGAGTAAAATACAGAAGAAAGAAATGTTCGTTGCAGTTGTTGGCACCACGTTCATGATATGTTCAACACTGGGCACTTCATAAGGTTCACTATCTAGTTTCGCTTTCATCTCTTTTGTGCTTTTAGAAGAACAGGCTGTAGGTACCCTTACCAAAAAGTAGTATACTTCAAGTTTATTTTAGTAAGTATACTTAAGTAAAGTTCAAGTATATTTTTAAGTATACTTTATGTAGCAAGTATACAAATATCAGTGTACTAGTAGTATACTTGTAAGTGTACTATTTCAATACTCCTTGGGACTAAATTGGCCCACTTTCTAGTATATAAAAGTATACTTTTAAGTATACTTTAAGTATAACAGTAGTAAACTTGAAGTACACAACTAGTTGACAACAATATTTTTAGCTTGTACTGCAACTATACTAAAAGTGAACTTATATGAATACTGATAGTTTCTAATTAAATACTTTTTTAGCATTTTAGTACACTTTGAAGAATAGTCTCAGTAAACTACTAGTTTAGTTGTGGATAGAGTCGATCAACACCCCAGAGCTTGACAGTCATTATTTCCTCTTCATTGGTCGACATTACATCAACTTTACACAGTTTTGATGCTGTTTTATGTCTGATGATCGTGCTAGATTACATGTGCAAGCATCTGTTGTTTCGGTTTCTTCTTCGCTTGTGTTTTTTTTTAAATTCTGTACAGAAAATGTGTACTAGCGCCTAGTATAACAATGAAAACGCGGATTCTAGGAACACAAGTATAGCTCAAATATATTTAGACTTTTTCTAAGTAGGCTATAAGTTAAGTATACTTAAATGTCATTTTAAGTATATTTCTGAGAAGTACACAAAGCCCATTTCTGAGAAGTACATAAAAAGTAGACTAAAAGTATACTTTCCTTTTTTTTTTTTTGTTTAAAAGAAGTAGCCTATACCAATAGCACACTTGAATAAACTTATTTTTCGTAAGGGTAATTAATGCCACACTACCGAAAAATAATTATTCCAGTGTGCAATTTTCCATCTTCTAATCTGGATTCAGCAGACTACCG